CGTGGGGTGGGGTGGATGAATTCTTTGTGAGGAAGCCTGCCAGGTTGCACGGAAGTAGTGAAGCGAAAACGAATGTTCATGCACGCAAGCCACGAGCACTTCCATCAGGATGCACACGGGGCCTACGGCAAAGGGGCCTAACCCGAATCCTAAGGGGGGGTTGAGGCGGCACGGGCATGGCATCACTTGCCATTTTATGCCATGCAAGGACGGCTTGATCGTAAGGAGCACAGTGTCCTACAGGCCATGAACAGTGGGACGTTCCACGTCGAGGGACAACGACAGACACTCCCAAAGAATGTGCTCAGAGGTCCCAACATGAGCTCTGCAGAAGGGGCATGCAACATCGCGCCCTTGGGCGCGTGCATATGCGGCAGGAGACATCAACGAGCCAGAGAAACATGCAAGGGCGGAGTGAAGAAGTCCAGGCTTTGCGAACCAAGGAGACACGGGCCTCGGGGACTCGGGGTAACGAATGCCAGCACACCTCTGCATCATTGCGGCCAAAATTTTGTCGTCGGCGAAAAAAAGAGGAGCGCCAACCTTCGCGAAGGTAGCAAGCAAGTGTCAAGTGCTTTCCAACGCAAAGACGCGCAGTAACGGGATGGGACCAAGACCAAGGTCCAGCAACGGTCCAGCCCAAATGCTTGGGTGAGCACAGAAGACCAACCTCCATCCTCCTCCCCCCCCTTCCCCACCCCCAATCCACCCTTCTCCAGCCACTTACCTCATCCTCCACCTACCCCCCCTTCCCCACGACCCTTCCCCTTCCCAACCATTCCACCCCACCCCCCCCCCCCACCCTCCCCCCCCCACCCACCCCACCCCCCCAACCCCCCCCCGGCGGTAGCCATTAAATCCGGCCCCCGCGCCGCCCGTGGTCCAGGGCGGAGCCCGCGTCGCACAAAAGCGCGAGCTTTAAGGGGCGAGCGCCCGAGCCGCCGACCCCGCCCAAAATTGCTTTGGGAGGCCTCCAAAACGGCATCCAAGGGGACGCAACACGCGGTGGTGCGAAAAGCACGAAAACCTCGTAAAAACCATGGGTTTTTACGAAAAACCGAGGCCACAAAACACCCGCAGCACCCCATTAAACCCTCACGGGCGCGCATCATCGGCCCTAGCTTTTCACATGGGGCGCGTGCCAGGCCGAAACCACGTTTTTCAAGGTTTGGGGGGGGTACCGGAAGCCCAAAACCAGGCGAGCATCATGAGCATCAGCAGCCCTGGCCCGCGGGCCCAAGGCAATAAAAAACGCTGAAAAACGCTGAAATCACCGTAAATACCGTGTTTTTATAAGGTTTTTCACGCATGCCTCCGACCCCCACCCCTGTTGCCCTTGACCCGCCCCCAAAGTGCGCATCATCGAAACCCACGTCCGGGGGGGGGTCTGCTGATGCTGCTGATGCGCGGGGTCCGGGCGCATCATCGAGCCATCGTTTCTCATGGGCTTCGTGGGGGGGTCCGGGCCCACGGCCCAGAGACCCAGCTGATGCTCATGATGCTCGGTTTGGGGGGGTGTTCCAACAGCAGAAAACCTCGTAAATACCGAGTGTTTTGTGGGTCGACGTAAAAACGCCCCTAAAATCGCTCATTTTACGCGCTTGAACGGCTTCGTGCCTACAAAACACCCGAACAGCAGGACCCCGAATGCCCTTAAGGGCATTCGGGGTCTTGCTTTTGGGGGTTTCGTGTGCACGCAAGCGTTCAAGCACATACAATCGGCGTGTTTAAGGGGGTTTTGGATGGCCTGGGGGAGGCCGCTGATGCTCATGATGCTCCCTTTCCTGGGCCCCAAAAGGCTTCCCAAGCCCAAAAACACGTGTTTACAGCGTTTTCTGAAGGTTTTTCGAAGGCAAAACGCATGCATAGAATGCTTTTAAGGCCCCCAAACCAACCCCACTGATGCTCCTGATGCGGGTGCGCGCGCGCGCGCGCGGGGGGGGGCGGGAGAGGGAGGGGGGGCGAAGGCAGGAGAAAGAGAGACAGAGAGAAGGAGAGGACAAAGACACGGGAAAGAGAAGACAGTGCCAAGGTTCAAGGTTTCGTGCTTTGGGGGGCGGGGGCCGGCCCGTGCCGCTAGGCCTGAAATATATATACACACACACACACATTTTTAAGAAACATGACAACTCTTTTCTTTTTTGTGTTATATGCAGGCTCTCTATAAATATACTAGTTTGTTTCTTCGCCTAGAGTCTTCGTGTAAGGCATTGGCCCCCAATGCATGGACCGCATTTCCCAACGGGTGCGGCTTCAAGCTCGGACCCTTTTTTGTGCCACCCGGATATGGACCCCCACCTCCACCTCCGTTCGTCGACTACTATTACCATCACGGAGGCAAAGGCCATGGCCAGTATCATGGCCAGGAAGACGAGTATGGAGGCAAAGGCCATGGCGGGTATCATGGCCAGGGCTACGAGTATGCAGACAGAGGCCATGGCGGGGGCTACGAATCACCAGAGGAGTGGGAACAGGACGACGATCGACACCCCCAGCTCACGACAGAGGACGTGGATGTTCGCAACGGAGCACTTTGACTGAACTTTCAATCTTTTGCCTCAAATTGTGTGTGTGTGTGTGTGTGTGTGTGTGTGTGTGTGTGTGTGTGTGTGTGTTGTAGAGATCTCTGCGAGGCAAACATTCCGGATTACAATGGATTCGTGAGCAGCAAGTTCTGGACGAAAATTCCCGCGGCTGCGAGTCTGTATATAGTTTTGTGTTTTTGCATGTACATTATACATTTGGATAACCGATGTCAGCTCAGAAAAAAAAACATCATATGGGACTGCAGGAGGTGCTGGCAGAATTGCTACGTGGGCAGAAAATCCCCGATGAGAGCCCTGGGAGTCGCAGGTTGCCAGAGAGCGCTTTGTCCTGCCTATCGTGGACCGGGGAGCAGCAGGAATCTTTTCCGCGTCCTCGCACAGTTTGGTTGGGATGGAAGAGTACACTCGAGATGAGAAGATCCCAAGATCCCAAAACGGCATATGGACATGGACCTGGACCTGGACATGTAGAGTTTTGGATGGAAGCCTTTCTGCCGCACAAAACGGCCGGACGTTTCCTGTGTGATTGCGAAAAAAGAGCCCCTTTGCCCAAACTGTGTCTGAGGTGTATGTTTGGATCAGGACTGTATCTAGATGCAGGATTGTGTGTACATAAGATTGTATGTAGATGGCCCCTTTTGCTGGGCTGGATGGCCCGTGTATGTTTGGATGGACAAACCCTAAACCCTAAACCCTAAACCCTAAACCCTAAACCCTATAAACGCTGGATGGCCCATTTTGTGATGGGCTGGATTTCCCTTTTTTTGGATGGAACAGGAATGGGAAAGGGTGTGGAGAGGGGAGGTGGGGGCGGGGGTTGTGGGGGGTGGTGGGATGGGTTGTGTGGGGCGGGGAATAAGGCAAACCAAAAGTGTATACACTTTTGGGTCGGCCAACCCAAAAGTGTATACACTTTTGGGTGTGGCTGGGGGTGTAAATTTACACCCCGGGGTGTAAATTCAGACCCCGATTTTCCCCCCCCGGGGGTGTAAATTTACACCCCAAATTTACACCCCAAAAGGGTGTAAATTCTTAGGGGGATGTAAAGTGTAAATTTACACCCATTGGATCTATCAGGGAAAGTCGACTTTTTGTAGTACAAACGTAGTACGCCGCGGACGCCAGGAGCTGCCGTAGCTGGAAAGTCGACTTTTTGTAGTACAGACGTAGTACTTGTAGTACAAACGTAGTACGCCGCGGACGCCCGGAGCTGCCGTGGCTGGAGAGTCGACTTTTTGTAGTACAAACGTAGTACGCCGCGGACGCCCGGAGCTGCCGTGGCTGGAAAGTCGACTTTTGTAGTACAAACGTAGTACGCCGCGGACGCCCGGAGCTGCCGTGGCGGGAAAGTCGACTTTTGTAGTAGAAAGTCGACTTTCTGTAGTACAAACGTAGTACGCCGTGGGACTCGAACTCCGCGGTGTCGAAACCCTCGCAAATATCGGCGCGGAACTCTGGGGCTTCGAAAGGGTCGCAAATACCATCGGCGCGGAACTCTGGGGCGTCGAAAACGTCACAAATACCGCGGGCGCGGAACTCTGGGGCTTCGAAAGCGTCGCAAATACCGTGGGCACGGAACTCTGGGGCTTCGAAAACGTCGCAAATACCGTGGGCACGGAACTCTGGGGCTTCGAAAACGTCGCAAATACCGTGGGCGCGGAACTCTGGGGCTTCGAAAACGTCGCAAATACCGTGGGCGCGGAACTCTGGGGCTTCGAAAACCTCACAAACACCCTGGGCGCGGAACTCTGGAGCTTCGAAAACCTCACAAATACCGTGGGCGCGGAACTCTGGGGCTTCGACAACGTCGCAAATACCGTGGGCGCGGAACTCATGGGGCTTCGAAAACGTCGCAAATACCGTGGGCGCGGAACTCTGGGGCTTCGAAAACCTCGCAAATACCGTGGGCGCGGAACTCCGGGGCTTCGAAAACCTCGCAAACACCGTGGGCGCGGAACTCTGGAGCTTCGAAAACGGCGCAGCAAATAGCGCGACGGCTCTCGTGTGGGCGCGCAATCATTGCGGATGACATCTTGTCCTGAGCTCATGCAGAGCTATTACGAAACTTTTCCACTTCAAGCAAAAGCGCCTGTGTCATTGCACACTCGATGGAAAACATGATGTGCACAAGTAAAATCACTTTGGGGTAAAACAGGGGTGTGCTACTGTACTTTCACCTTTTGCACCCCTCCTTAGGACATTCGTCGTACAGACGAGTGTACTACAGAATCTGCCCAAAATCTATACAGGGAAAACTGCCACCACTAGCATTCTCGGTAGAACTCGAGAGAAACTTCAAACACATATCCACAGATTTCAAATCCCTGTACATCTTCCCCATTCGAGGATGGAAACAGTTGGACTTGCAATCTTTCAAGTTTAAACACGACTCAAAGTCGCACACGTCTCGCATCTAGCTTCACAGCTCAGTTGGGCTCGCAGTTGCATCTCAGGTCATCTCGCTCCATCTGGGTCCTCATCATGGGTTGCATTGCCTGCATCCCTCATATCCTTCACGGACTGCTTGTTCACGAGTGAGCAACCGAACATGTCGCCCATCATGCTGTGCCTTCCGGACCATTCCACACGTCTGACTATGGAACCGCAGGCCTGTGTTGCCAATCAGTGCCACCTGTCTCTGATTCCACCCGTGTCCACCTTGATGCACAGGTTGAGCTTGTACTCGGACTTGGGGTTCATCTTGCCGTCGAGGTTCACCTGCTCGAAGAGGTTCATCCGGTCGTCGAAGTTCATCTGGTCGTCGAGGTTCATCTTCTCGTCGAGGTTCATCTGGTCGTAGAGGTTCATCTGGTCGTCGAGGTTCATCTGGTCGTCGAGGTTCATCTGGTCCACATAGTGGTGGTTCCCCTTCCTCATCTGGCTCATGTTCCCATTCCTCTTCATCTTCTGTTCGATCAGTCGTCGTCGCCATCCTCTGTAGGTCTCCAAGTCGCTTTTCCTTCCATGCCATTTGCCATACCATGTACAGCACGGTCATCAGGATCACCAAACCCGCAGCCACCAGGAGAACACCACCCCATTGGTTGACCTTGATCTCCAGGCTCAAGGCGCTCATAATCGTGATGCCACTTTGCTCAAGCTCACGATCTCTTCCAAAGGCTTCTGCTCCATTCGCGGTTCTCATTGCATCCATCATCACCAGCAAACGAATCACCTTGGCATTCATCTGCTCATACTTCTGCTTGTTTCTGTTCGGACACTCGAAGCCACCATAGCCCAGGCGAGACATCAGGAATCCATAGCGTTCTGAGCTTAGCGCCTTTGTACCTATGTCAGCAGTATTTAGGTACGTGGACACTGTTCCCAGTTCCAAGGTTCCCCTCGAAGTTTCCCTCTGTACCCATAGCAGTTTCGTTTCCAGATGACGCACTTTCGACACGCCACGCTTTTGGAGCAATGATCGGGCGCTAGACGAGTCTAGCCGGCATAACAACCGACAAGGTGTGCTTGAAAGCGTCTTGATCACGTGCCCAACATACATCAGTTCTGCTGCCGTGGAACAACATGCCATGAGCTCTGCTTCGCATGACGACAGAGAAATCGAGCCTTGCTTCCTCACGAAGCTGAAGGTCGCGTTCCCATTCAAGTAGACGTGGCCACACGTCGATGACACCCTCGTCCAATGTCCAGCCCAGTCACTATCGCTCATGCCCTCAACCAAATCCGGTTTGCCGCTGTTCTCTATTTGCAGCCTTGTTGCCTCCTCTCGACTGAGCTTTCTCTCATCCAAACTTGACCTTCCCGGATACGTCCATGCCAACGTGAGACACACATCAGCTGTGGCTAACAGATACTCTGCTAAGTGACAGGCATGCTTCCACATACGCTTCGTTGGCCGACTCATCGACCTTGCCAAGTGTGCGATGGTCCATTGGGCATCTGGTCTATCTGGGCTGAGGTACAGGAAGCTTCCGACTGCCGCTCTGAACTTCGAAGCCTCCAGCTCCTGCAAGGGCTCTGACTCATCCATTTTGGCAATTTCTGGACTGCACGGCGTTTTCCTCACTCTCGGCCTTTTCAGGTCCAACACACCACAAATCTTCTCCAAGTACTTCTTGTCGACTCGCACCTCAATGCCAGACTCGGTGATTAGTAACTCTTTCTTCAGGAACTTCAGGCTATCACCTATGTTCTTCACGGGTTCTGAGACTTCCAGCTTGTACTTCTTCTCCAGGATCTCAGTTACCTTTCGTGTGTTCTCTGGGGTTCCAGCTAGCAAGCCATCATCGACATGAACTGTTGCACCCAAACCTGGCTGTCCAAACGCTGCCGGACATGCTTCATCTGGCACCAAGCCAGCTGTAGCCAGGTCCGCCGCCAGCTGTTCTCCCCACCACGCAGACGCTGCCTGCTGTCCTGGCAAGCAACGATGGTCTCTATATGGGAGGCCGTCCAACATCACATAAAGCTCTTGACGCTGCTTCACCTCGAGGAAAGCATCCTTCACGTCGAAGCTAACCATTTGCCACCCTGGTCGGGAAACCATGAGGGCCGGCAACAGCTTTGCAATTGATGGATTGGTGCTTGGGGCATACACGTCTGTCCTGTTTGGGTCCCATATCTTCAGCTGCTTGCACACTAACCTCGCCCTTCTCTTCCACTTCGCCTCACGGTACCGCCAGTCCATCACATGCTTCGTCTGCAACAACTCTGCGTTCTCAGGTAAGGACGATACCTGTTCCAACACTCCCATGTCAAGGAGTCGCTTCACTTCGGTCTTCCTGCTCTCAGCATCCACTTGGTTCATCTCGTGTTCCGACAGTTCTGGAGGCCCCTCATTCTCAGTCCTGTTACGCCAAAGCTCTCCCCAATCAATGCTCTCTTCTCCCTCTTCTACCTCAGACCAAATCTCCCACTCTTCCATGTCACCCCACTCCTCTTCTAGGTGCTCATCCAATGTGTAGTACTCAGCATCTGCAACTTTCACGGTTGAAACCCTTGAGGTCTTTGGTGGCGATGAGCTCCCAGCATAAAGTGGAGGTGCATTCAGCGGGACGTTCTTCTCCTCCGGCATCGGTCGCTTTTCTCCACGCTTGTCTTCTTCCTTGTCACTTGGTTCGGGCTCAGATCTCTTCTGTCCTGCTCCTGCCTCGATGTCCATCTCTTCTCGCACGCCATCACCAGTTCTGCCTTCCGACGGGGCTGAGCTAGCATGCTGTGACGATGGTGTCGAAACCCCTCCTGGCTCTTCATTGCTAGATTGTCTTGCACCTGACTGCGATGATGAACTTGAAGAATCAGATCCTGCCTCATCTGGTGCCTTCAACGCTGCCTCCTTTGGTCCTTCCATTGGCATCACTGGCATGTCCGGTACCACATTCGGCTTTGTCCTGTCTTTCATAGCCGGAATCACGACTTTTCCCAGGCTGCTCAACGAAAACTTGTACGGTTTGCCTTGGAATTCTTTCAGCATATGCTTGCTCCACCTTTCCTGTGGATTCAGCCTCCGGACCGTTGTTGACAGGTACAAACCAAGCGCTGTTCCACACACATGCATGTCATTCACCAGCGATTTTCCAAGCCACAGGCCTTTCACGAACTTCGGGCGTCCTTTCTTTCGATGGCCTTGACTCAACGCAAACAGGACCACCTCGCCGAAACATGCCAACTTCCCATTGTAGGCCAAGCCAAATGCCTTCTCGAACGAAGTCGTTCCAGCTCTGACTGCAAACGTGTTCTGAAGCATTGAGGCATGCACATACGCCCAGCCTGCAATCTCATCTCTCGTCCGAATCTCCGTTCCCGATTGAGCCTTCACCTGTTCCAACAAAGTTGATGCTAGATCTCGAATGTTCTGAACGCATTGTTCTGCCATTCCATTTGTTGCATGCTCATGAGGTTGTGACGGTCTCGCCACGGTCTTCAAACCCAACTTCGTCCTGGAGTGACAAATCATCTTGGTCAAGGCTGCTGCAGAAGGCTCATTGTCTGACCTGATCACCACGCCTTGATATCCCAGATAGGATATGAAGCCTAAGATTTCTTTCGCTGCATACACCAGTGATTGATCACCTTTCGACTCTAGGGGTATGGCTCTTGACATTCCTGTCGTCTTGTCCACAGCCACCACCACAACCATCGCATCTTTGTCCTTAGGAGCACTTCGCATGAAGTCTAGTTCACCTCCCGTGACATCGGTGTAAAAGAAGTCGAATGCAATGATTGGGTCCCCGCCATCGGTGTCATGTTGTTCTCCATCCTGACGGTGAGCATCTCTCCTTGATCTGCAACTTACGCAGTAGCTGCACCATTCCTTGAACGGCACATGAGTGAGCTCATGCTCGGCAATCTCATCAGCAGTTGGTTGCTTAGGAAGTCGCTCTCCACGTGGTTGATGTTCATGAGGTTTCGCCGCATTCTCCAGCGCCATCGCATCCTCCAGTGCTCTCTTCTTTGAGTGACTCATCAACCTCTGGAACATAACTTTCTTGGAACCAGACATCCCCAGTCCCAAAGCTTTGCACGCTTCTCGTAGTTCTCGAGCACTCGAATCCTCGTTCAACCGCAGTCCCTCTACTACCACATGGTCTTCTTCTCCACATCCGATCAACATTGGGGCGGGACTTGCGCCCACCGGTTCTTCATGTCCGTCATGATCACATACACCTGGGAGTTCGATTGGGCTCATTTGTTCATGCGGATCAGCTACGCTCATCTCTTCGGCATACAGATCAAGATCAACGGGCCAATCTTTCACTTCATCTGCCTCGGAAGTTCCAGCTTCAGCAACGAGCGTGAGGCCGTAGTGATCGGGGTCACCTTTCGTACGATGCATAATGGTGAATATCAGGACTGCTGCATCGCCATGTTCAATCACCTCACTCAGGTTCTCCACGTTTTCCAGGGGTTCCTGGAAGTCCACAAGCTCCCACGCTTCCTGCCTGAACACCAAAGTCGTGCGATACTTCCACAAATGCACTGACATGTCATCTGAAGGATCGAGGCGGACCTTATCTCTCTTCAAGATGCAAGGATCACCACAGTCGAGGAAATTCCACCCTGGAGAAAGTCCGTGGATGTTGAAATGTGGTTGCACTATAATCCGACCTTCTTTGCTTGCTCGAACACATTCTTCTTCTGGTTCTTTCACCTCATCATCCCGGACCATGAACACTCTGGCATCAACCACAAGGCTATTCCTTCGGAATGAGACCGGCACTTCTATCTCTTCGGGATCATTGCACAGATGCAGGAGTCCATTCCTGTGGTCGAGGCTCCAACCTTTCTTCAGCAATCTCCCTAGTGAGATCAGGGGCGCACCAACATCGGACGCGTAGAACTCCTCTTGGATCATCGCTGGGCCTAGGTCCAAGGTGATCTTCCTGCTACCATGGTTCTTCATCTCTTTCCCTTGGGCGTCGACCATTCGAACTGGTGCACTCGAACCCCTGTCTCCAAGATTCGCTTCCAACCATGCTCGCGGCATCACACTGAGGTCAGCACCTGAATCCAAGACCACCTCCTGAGGTAGCCCTTCAGAGAGAGCGCTGTAGCGCTCGTCAGACCTGCTGCTGATCCCTCTTACTTCTGCATGTGCAACCCATTCTTCATCTCCAAGCAATGCATCATCTAAGCTCATGTCCACGACGCTGTACGTCTCCCAAGCAAAGTCGATGACTTCCAATTCATCCTCACCATCAACCATGGAATGTTCGATCACTCTGCACCACCACGACTCATTGTCTGACACATACGACTCTGAACCCTCGCTGTCCATCTCATAGACCGTTGTCATTGGGACATCAAGTCGATCACTGTCTGCAAGATCAAACACACGCTTCACACTTGCTGTTCCGGTCGATGAATTTGAGCTCGATGCGGACAAACTGTTCCCCGATGCGGACGACGTATCATTCTGGTTGACGTTTCGAACTTTGTCCTTCATCCAACACTCATTGCCCCAATGCCCTGACTTCCCGCAGATTCGACAAGCATCATGAGAAAGCCTTTCTTTGCCCTTTCCTCCTTTCTTTCCTCTGTCCTTTCCTCCTTTGCTCCAATCATTCCTGCTCCATGAGGACTGTTTTCCTTTTCCTCCTTTCTCATAGCCTTTTCCTTTGCCTGGACGACTCTCATATCCTCCTTTGCCACCTTTGCCTTTTGCCGTTCTTTCCTCCATGCTTTCCTCCATCTTTGCCACCTCCTTTGCCAGCCCCTTTACCCCATTTGCCCTTTCCTTTAGGCCATCCTTTCACACGATCGACATCCATGGGGCTCGGGCCGTTCGGATCATCATACGAAGGTTTCTGCGGTGCCCCTCCTGTCACGATTTGCGAAGACCACTTCTGTGTAGAACGCTCCCACCGAAGGATCATGTCTCTCATGCTCTCATACGTGGAATCGTCCCCAATGGTGATTGTCAAGTGTGACCGAACTTGCTGAGGCAAAACACGCAACAAGATTGCACTCTGCATCTCATTCGGAACTGGCTTTCCCGACGCCTGCTCGTACTTGCGGAAGAGGTCCTCCAGACGTAGCACCTGCTCCAGGAGATTCCCTTGATTCATTGCCGGAAACTGTGAGATTGCTCCCAACAGTGCAAGCGCTCGTGTCTTGTTGGTGGGTGCCAGCACATTGTTTAGCACACGCCATGTCTCGAATCCATTGGCACCGGTGACACTCTTGAGGATTTGGAGAGGCCTTTCTCGAAGCATGCTCGTGAGGATTGCATACAGCTGCTTTCCCTGTAGAATGGCATCGTCGGTCATAGTGGCTTCTTCACAAGGCGAACTCAAATCCTGCTCTACCTCTTCAATCGCAGTATACATCTCAGGGCTTATTGCAAGGATCCACTGCTTGAAGCTCCAACTCCAATCTTGCCATTGCGTTAGCTCTTCTTCTCGGTCTTTGGGCTTGAAAGGGTCAGGTCGAGGGATGAACTTTGTCCACCCCGTCGGAGCTTCCTTCCTGGAACCAAGGTGAGTGACCGCTTCTTTCAATTCTTCTGACTGTCTTTGCTGCTCAATGGACATGGACTGAAACAAACCCATGAAAGAACGATTCTGCTCTTGGCCCTGCATCACCATGTTGCCTAAGGCTTCCAAAATCTGAGGCACACTCGCAGTTGCAGACTGAGGCGATGTTGGCTGGGACTGTGCAAACGGATTCGGGGCTGAGGAAGGTTGGGATTGACCTTGAGGAGACGCCATGACTGCAATCAAAGCTCAACGGAACCCTCAGACTGCTTCAATGCCACCTTGAACTTCAACCTCTTTGGTGTAGGCTCACTGGTCTCGGTCAGGTCAAGCGGTTCACTTCGAGGCTCCAGCGACTGTTCGAACACGTCCGATCCGGTGTTCTCGCCCTGGTCCAACCTAGACAAGATCTCCAGGTCACGCTCAAACGTCTTGCCCTCTTCAGTCGCGTGCACAAAGTTCTCTTGAGCACTCCACTCTACAGCTTCACAAAACACGTTGTCTGTTGCAATGAACCGAAAATCTTCCAAGATGCTCTGGTTCTTGTTCAAACACTTTTCAGCCAAAGCGAAAACGTCCTCGATCCTGCTCAGTCTGTCCAGCTTGGGCTCCAAACTCAAGCGAGCTGACTCCAGGATGTTTTGCCAGCCTTTCTGGGTCCGATTCTCTGGCTTCGGTCGCAACAAGAGCTGCTCAAAGTAAAACTCACGCAGTTTCTGCTTTGCTTCCTCTAAAGCGCCCCACGTCGCCGTTGTGCCACAGCAGCCCACAGCGCGGTGGTAAAAGACAAGGAGGTTCTGGCCGCCCAGCTGCCCGTCTGCACCCCACTAGGCCGCTTCCAGCAGCCCAGGCACAAAGGAAGCTATGAAGAGGATCCAACCCTCAGAGGCACAAACCTACAGCTGGGGCACTACCTACCCTACTGTCGAGGCTAGGGTCCAGGCCTCTTTCCCGGAGCTCAGGTACCCAAGGGTGGACCTTCACAGCTCCGCTACCATACGAAACTTTTCCACTTCAAGCAAAAGCGCCTGTGTCATTGCACACTCGATGGAAAACATGATGTGCACAAGTAAAATCACTTTGGGGTAAAACAGGGGTGTGCTACTGTACTTTCACCTTTTGCAGCTATGCTTTGATCTGTTCACAACATGGCAGCAGGCGCCTCAGGCCATGTGGGACTTTTGCATGCTGGCATGTGTACGTGGAATTATGCATTCATTCATCCTATGTACGCTTTGCAAACTTCGTGGACGGAACCTCGTCCGGTGCTGAGAGCTTTTGTTGCGATCACTGTTGCATTAGACCAGTCATCACACCCACGCTGTGTCGTCGCTTTCCTTCCTGGTTCGAGGTAGATGTGAAGTTGCAGCATGCAGGCTTTAGGTAGGAAGTCGCAGGAACTTAGCAAGCGCGGGCTCGTTGAGAAGCATGGGTACGGCTGGCGGGCGCATTTTGCGCACATCCGCATGTGCGAGGAGAAGGGCACTTCGAGCAAGGAGAAGTCTATCAGAGGTCCGCTGCGTGACAGCAGAAGGAAAGCTCTTGCGGACTTGAAATCCATGCGAGAATGCGGCACGGCTGCCGAGTTGGTTGCTCGTGCGGCGAGACTGAAAGATCTGACCCTGCCTTCATGGGTGTCCAACGAAGCTTTGTCGACGCGGCACATGTCACTTTGCGGGCTGAACGTCCAGTACCCGTGGAGTCGACTGTTGATGCTGGGCTGCAAAACTATGGAAGTGAGGACCTATCCCCTCGGTCAGTACCGGTGCTTTTCGGAAGGACAGCAGATGAGGCAATCGCTCTGCAGAGGGCGCCATGGTACCTGTTGAGATTGGACCTCCTCCTGCACGGTCTCAGGTGATCGGCGTCATAGGCCGCCATGGCAACCGAAGAAGCCGTGCACATATCGACTGCAGAAGCAGAGTCGAGGAACCTGGAAAAGATTCTGGAACTGCGGAAGCGAGATAATGATTTGCAACGTCAGATCGACCAGCTTCGCGTTCAATGTGCTGAACTTGCAGAGAAGCTAGCCGAACAGGATTGCCTGGATAAACGCCTGAACGTCCTGTGGCGTACGTTTCAGGACTTTCAATATGAAACCAGGGGTGCTTTATCAGGCATACTTCGCAGGCTTGGGAATAGGTCGCTCTGAACAAGAAGTAGCTAATGCTGATGGCTGTGCGCGAAGCTGAGACGTTTTCTGTCGAAGTTTCGTCGGGCTGGCATGCGAGCCTCCCAACGAAACAGCCAAGAAAACCCCAACCCCCCCCAACCCCCCCGCTTCTTGGGTACGTCAGAAAAGGATTTGTGGTTATGTAGACTATAAACTAGAAACGAGAGGGGTGGAAATTACACTAATTCTCCACTTCTCTACTTCTCGAATTTCGAGAAACAAAAACAAGAACGAGGGGGTGGAATTGAAATTAACTCTGTGCTTCTCTACTCATTTTTCCCGAAAGCTTCAGCGAAGGGTTCTTCGGAAAAAAAACGTCAACCTACCATCCAATCACCACACTACCATCACCACACTACAATCACCACACTCCAATCTCCACACTACCATCACCACAGTACCATCACATCACTTCCGCTATTAAATTCTCTCCTATTTCTTAGGCTGGGGTGGGTTTCGCCGCGGCTAGCGCGATGCACCCCTCTGCGGGGATCGTGCGTGTCGGAGCGCTCCCGCTGTGCGTTTTTGCGCATTTAGATGTGCGCCCGCGCGCCCTCTGCGGGGATCGTGCGTGTCGGAGCGCTCCCGCTGTGCGTTTTTGCGCATTTAGATGTGCGCCCGCGCGCCCTCTGCGGGGATCGTGCGTGTCGGAGCGCTCCCGCTGTGCGTTTTTGCGCATTTCGATGTGCGCCCGCGCACCCTCTGCGGGGATCGTGCGTGTCGGAGCGCTCCCGCTGTGCGTTTTTGCGCATTTAGATGTGCGCCCGCGCGCCCTCTGCGGGGATCGTGCGTGTCGGAGCGCTCCCGCTGTGCGTTTTTGCGCATTTCGATGTGCGCCCGCGCACCCTCTGCGGGGATCGTGCGTGTCGGAGCGCTCCCGCTGTGCGTTTTTGCGCATTGTACAACTTGCTTCGCACACCCTCTGCGGGGATCGTGCGTGTCGGAGCGCTCCCGCTGTGCGTTTTTGCGCATTGTACAACTTGCTTCGCACACCCTCTGCGGGGATCGTGCGTGTCGGAGCGCTCCCGCTGTGCGTTTTTGCGCGTTTTGCAACTTGCTTCGCACACCCTCTGCGGGGATCGTGCGTGTCGGAGCGCTCCCGCTGTGCGTTTTTGCGTATTTTCAAGCGTGGTCGTGCACCCTCTGCGGGGATCGTGCGTGTCGGAGCCTTCCTCACCTCTTCCTCTCCTCTTGGCGGACGCCCGGAGCTGCCTCGACTTTTTGTAGTACAAATGTAGTACGCCGCGGACACCCGGAGCTGCCGTAGCTGGAAAGTCGACTTTTTGTAGTACAAACGTAGTACGCCGCGGACGCCAGGAGCTGCTGTAGCTGGAAAGTCGACTTTTTGTAGTACAGACGTAGTACTTGTAGTACAAACGTAGTACGCCGCGGACGCCCGGAGCTGCCGTGGCTGGAGAGTCGACTTTTTGTAGTACAAACGTAGTACGCCGCGGACGCCCGGAGCTGCCGTGGCTGGAAAGTCGACTTTTGTAGTACAAACGTAGTACGCCGCGGACGCCCGGAGCTGCCGTGGCGGGAAAGTCGACTTTTGTAGTAGAAAGTCGACTTTCTGTAGTACAAACGTAGTTGGGACTCGAACTCCGCGGTGTCGAAACCCTCGCAAATATCGGCGCGGAACTCTGGGGCTTCGAAAGGGTCGCAAATACCGTGGGCGCGGAACTCTGGGGCGTCGAAAACGTCGCAAATACCGCGGGCGCGGAACTCTGGGGCTTCGAAAGCATCGCAAATACCGTGGGCGCGGAACTCTGGGGCTTCGAAAACGTCGCAAATACCGTGGGCGCGGAACTCTGGGGCTTCGAAAACGTCGCAAATACCGTGGGCGCGGAACTCTGGGGCTTCGAAAACGTCGCAAATACCGTGGGCGCGGAACTCTGGGGCTTCGAAAACGTCGCAAATACCGCGGGCGCGGAACTCTGGGGCTTCGAAAACGTCGCAAATACCGTGGGCGCGGAACTCTGGGGCTTCGAAAACCTCACAAACACCGTGGGCGCGGAACTCTGGAGCTTCGAAAACCTCGCAAATACCGTGGGCGCGGAACTCTGGGGCTTCGACAACGTCGCAAATACCGTGGGCGCGGAACTCATGAGGCTTCGAAAACGTCGCAAATACCGTGGGCGCGGAACTCTGGGGCTTCGAAAACCTCGCAAATACCGTGGGCGCGGAACTCCGGGGCTTCGAAAACCTCGCAAACACCGTGGGCGCGGAACTCTGGAGCTTCGAAAACGGCGCAGCAAATAGCGCGACGGCTCTCGTGTGGGCGCGCAATCATTGCGGATGACATCTTGTCCTGCGCTCATGCAGAGCTATGCTTTGATCTGTTCACAACACGGCAGCAGGCGCCTCAGGCCATGTGGGACTTCTGCACGCTGGCATGTGTACGTGGTATTATGCATTCATTCATCCTATGTACGCTTCGCAAACTTCGTGGACGGAACCTCGTCCGGTGCTCAGCAAAGTCTTCTTGCAGCCAATGGGTATTGCCCTGGCGCACGCGACTGAGCTCCTGCGCGCGCTGATTGCGTGGATGAGCGAGAAAGCCTTGCTTGCACGCGTGAACGCCGGGGAGGACGGCACCTGGACAAAGAACTCACATTGGACGGGCTTCTACATGACCAGCAGTGAGATCGACCGCGTCGCTGCTGCGCCATTGGTCCGTGCCGCAAAGAGACTTGAACTCATGGCGATGCGCGTGTCTATGCCTGATCTCCCGAAGCCGGCGGCGACCTGAGGACAGCCATAAAGGCTATAGTCGATCGGACCCACACCGAAGCACTGACGCGTTGTCTGTTGACATGCTGCGGCAGGCGACTAGTGCTTCTCCGAGCAGCTCTGAGACGTTTTCTGTTGACGTGCTGCGGCATGTGACTGGTCCACCGAGAAAAGATACTCCTGCGCTCACGCTTGCATGCCTTGACTTGCAACATAGAAGACACATTGAGTCGCGCAGCGCCGTGGTGATTTGCTGCTGTCACTGCTCTAACTAAAGAAGCTTGCCCCCAGGTTGACTGCGCCCGTGCACCTGCCTTGCCTACAACGAACAGCTGTGCGCCGGCCTCAGTCTGCTTGCTTGCTAGTGTCACACAAGACCACGCACGCACGATAGGTACGAGTGGAGCAGCCGTTGCTTGGAGTCGGCTGTGCTTCTTTTGCATTTGTAACCCGCGGCGCAGACCCTGGGTCTTGCTGGCTCACAGAACTTCAGTTCTAGGGTGCGCCGCAGCATGGCGCAGAATCTTTTCGAGACCACCTTGGACAAGGTGTCCGGCGCTGGAGCCGAGCAGATGAAGGTGCCCGTGAGACGCCTGTGTTACTCCACGAAGCCGATCGTGGCAAAAACGGGCAAGAAGTTCTGCAAGTTAGCGGGGAAGATGGTAGATTTGGCTGGCAACTCTCTCTACTATGAGTTTCTAGGCAACGACGAGAAGGACGTCATGGCCAAGGCGAAAGACCTCATGTCGTCGGAATTCGTCGTGTTGACGAAGCTGAAGCTGCAGAAAAGTCCGTTCTGGGCTGGACACTACGCAAACTTCAGCGACAAAGGTTCGCGAACGGGCTTCCATCCACAGCCGGCAGGACACGCGACGTCCATGAACCTCCAGCGCATCTATCCGGAGTCCACGATCAAGTTCGCGCAGTGTGCGCGGCGGCAGGTGTGGCAGCGAGGGTTGGGGCAAGGTGGCTGTCCAAGGCGGCCATGATTGATGGCTTGGTCGACAAGCTTGTCCCAGGTGACTGCTGACATACGCCAACACAGGGGGCCTGCTCTGCGGATGGACTGGGTGGAGCAAGAGCTGCAGCTCTTTTTGTGCTGGCGAAACTTGTTGCGTCATGGGGTGCTGGCGCCAGTGGCCCTGGCGTCGTGCAGCGACGAAGGCGACCGCGAAGTGGTTCCATCAGAGGAGCATCCGACCACCATGTTTGATCCTGGCACCTGGGCCACGGCGTACCCCGATCTGTTTCCGTACGCAGACGGCGTGCCTTTTCTGACTCGGCAGACCAAGGTCTCTGTGCTGGAGGTGTTTCAGTACCTTCTCTGCCGGGACGAACTGAGCTACACCCTGCCAGGGGAAGCCAGTTACGAGCCGCCGCAGCGTGCAAGATGGTCCGCGTCAGTGTCTTGGCTGAAAATATTCAACTTGCGGGAGAGAGAGAGAGAGAGAGAGAGAGAGAGAGAGACCATGTATGAGCTAGAGAAGGCAGTGTGCAGGCTTCATTTCTGCCGGTGTGCTACGATGTGCAGCGTCGCTTACAGCTGCTGCGCAAGAGCAAGGCGCACGTCCAGCGCAAGGGCTACAGCGAGCATTGCAACGTCATTGCTTCCGTTGAGCCCGAAGCCTTGCTGAAAGCCATCGCTTTGAAGGGCGAAAAGGCAGACATCCGGGCCATCATGCAGAGCCCGGAAGTCGACCCGGCCCTGAAGAGAGCTCTCGGCGACGTCCTGATGACCACGGGCGACATCGTCGGCATGGAAGGGCATCGGTCTCAGCTGCGACACCGCGGTCACGCCGCAGGGTGGCATTTCGGCAGCTCCACTCTGTTCGTCACGCCGAATTTGGCAGACACCCGTGCGTCCTTGCTGCTTCAGCTGAACGACAAGGCCTACGCCTTGGGCATGGACTGGAATGCTGAAACGCCCGACTTGCTGGTCAACTGTTGGGGCGATACTTTTGTGACAGCGCACCGCGGTCTATGTGTGTGCCCTGGCTGCGTCCGTGCCCCGGGCTGTTGCGCGGATTGACACGTTCTCTGTGAATGTCCACCTTCGCCCGCCGGCACGATGCTCCTGCCTTCAGCACTCGCCCGCCGGCACGATGCTCCTGCCTCCTGCAATCAAGTGGATAGAAAAGTGACCGTGACCTTTCGCGTCATTCATCACGCTGAGTTTAACATTGACACATGTGTTGCTACACACACCCAACTTGTATGACTGGCAGGCGTAGGCTCATCCTGCACGGTGCCCGCGCAGAGCTTGGCAGCCGTGCTGCAGCAAGTTTCTTACATTCAACTTTGAAATCCCTCAGCTTGAACCCGTGAGCCAACCCTCACGCTCAAATCCCCGAGGTGCACGTTCCAAACAAGATCTCTCTGGTGCATTAGGCTCGCGTTGCTTTGTCGCTTGTGGTTGGTGCCATGTCGTCTGTCTGCTTCTGTGAACGTAAGCATGACACTTGTGGCTGCAGGTGGAGCTTGGATGATCTGATTCGTCTGCTGCTGTGACCGTCTCACTTTGGGGACTTGCAGTGGAAAAAGAACATACTATCACCACGCTAGCACTACGCTACCATCGCAACATTACCATCACCACATTATCATCACCCCATTGCCGTCATCGCGCTACCATCGCCTCAGCTATACACGGCCTCTCTACACTGCCTATTCTATTCCATCTTCTTTGCGTTTCGCGTCCTTTTCGCTGTCGACGCGACACCTGCTTCCTATCCTACTACACCACACCACGATCACCGCACTGACAACACAACCAACTCTACGTGTCAGTTGATATCTTCGCACTGATTGCTTTCGGGATAATCGGTGTCTAGTCTACTTTTCGAATGATGAACACAAGAAACAAAAACAAGAAACGAGGGGGGTGGAATTTAGAGTTAGTCTCTACTCCTCTTGTGATTTTCGAATAATGAACACAAGAAATCAAAACAAGAAACGAGGGGAGTGGAATTTAGACTAGTTCTCCACTTCGTTCTCCACTTTTCGAACAAGAAAGGTCCTTGAGGGCTAGCAAACAAGCACGGGGGGGGGGGGGGGTGCCACCCCCCCCACCCCCCCCCCCCCCCCCCCCCCCCCCCCCCCAACCCCCCCAGATGCCCATGTCAGATCAGTCTCACACTGCGACGACCAGGGCTGCCAAACCTCGGATATGGCGCCGCCGGGCGAAGTAATGTCGCGGCAAGCACCTTCTCCCAGCTTGAAGCACAAGGTTGGACTTCGCCAATGCTCTACACGAACCACCCCTGTGCAGTTGCTTCTCGGGATTTCCCACCATCCCTAACAAGGAACATAACAAACCCTAAAAGGATCCATAGAAGCCATTGGGTATGAGCCCTCTGCCTCTGATAAGTTCCATTACTTCATCGAGAACTGCTTCAAATACGGACATGATGACAAAGAATTGTCTCCAATACACGGTCGCCTCCTGCGATGACTGAAGCTTAGCGCCTTTGCACCTCCCCATGCTAAACCCTAAACCCTAAACCCCCGAACCCCATGCTGCTCAAGGACTTTGGCCGAGCATCGATGGATGCGGGATCCGGGCTGTCTAGGGTAATTTGGGGGGGGGGTCTTAGAGAGATTGATTGTTTTGTACGGTTTTATAGGGATTATATGCCGGGATTCAAGGATTGGATATTACAAAGGCATTTTCATCCGAACCCCTTTCAAGCCTGCTGCACCCTGAACACCACTCCCTACTGCGCAAGGTGCCTCGCCAACCGTGAGATCCCAACCTCCAGGCCACTTACCTTTTCATCCAGTTAAGAACCTTGAGCTGCGAAGTGAACGCGAGCCGCCATTCAGCCGCAAGCAGCTAGCCATGGAGCAGGGCAGCTCGTTTAATGCATTTAACCATCCAAGCTAAACATGACAAGACTTCGCCTTCCAATGCTTGCATGCAGGATCTACTTGGTAGGTTGCCCAAATCAGAGCACTTTGCACATCCTATGGTGGTTCATGTCGAAGCCTGGCCACGGGGCGCGCAAGCACAGAGAAGCAATGAGAAGAACTGATCACGACAGTATATAAAGAACAGGATGTGTTCATGGACCCCATCCTTTCTTACACAATCGACTTCAGAGATGGGGACGAAACCCCCACTGGACGACAAATCCGGCATTGAGCGCAGGTCTTTACGTCAACCTCCCTCCTTTCATACCCCCTCTCTTACTCCCCTCACACCCCCTTTTACCCCTACCCCCCCTCTTCGCTCCTCTTACCCGCCTCTCGTTTTCCCCAACAGCTTTTGAACTTTGGGGTCTTCCTGAGCGCCCGAGCAGGTTAATGAATCTAGATTAAACTGCACGATACTATACCATGCTCTGTTATGCTATGCTAGCGTATACTATACTATACTTTAGACTATTCTATACAAGACTGTACGATAGTCAACTGCTGTCCGTGTGCCAAATATTCACGGGATCGAGCCGTCGCCTTCTTTAAGCTAAGCAAGCACTCGAATAGGCCACCACTCACACAAGCACGAACGAGAAAACGATGCAACAGTCCCATTGCAGATTATTTGGCCACTCGTTTCATTCAGAAAACAAGCAAAGGAAGGAGCCACGGATTTGAGCCGAGCAAGGGATTTAGCCGCGGTTTCCTTAAGCCAGATAGGCAGAGTTGCTGCCACCGATTGCATGAAACAAAACAGAGTAAGCACAAACTTAGATTGCCACTTGCTTCTGCAACCCATGAGCAAGGAATTTGACCATCACCTTCTCCTAACTGAACAAGAAAACCCGAACACCCATACTCGAAGTGCGAAGCGCAACAAAAGGGCACAGCCCAAGTAGGTACCCAGAAGAACCGTGAACTACCATCATGACTTCTTGCCGTCGAGTACCACGGCAGTGGAGCGTTTGCCAGTCTATTTGCTGGGATTGCCAACAGCTGCTGTTGTGACCTAGCAGAAGTCCAGGAGCCCACACGCGCACTTTTTGCATGTCCCGCGGTGGCGCTCCTCAGGACTGGATACGTGTCATAAAGAACACGCATCGGCTGCAAAGATGCACTCCATACGCAGGTCCGGGTCAAAGGCTGTCCTGGGTTCTCAGGGGGGCTAAGGGGCTAAGGGACCCAAAGGCCCTGCCGGATATGGGTGTCACAGGCAGGAATGGAAGTACTATGCCATTTAGTCGACTAAAAGGTAGACTGTATACTATATACATACCGTATACTGTATACTCTAGAGTATATTACTAGATATGCGATTAGTATACACTATATTATAGAGCATATACTGTATAGTATCCACTACATACTAGATACGCCATACTACATACTATATACTACATTTTACATACTACATTCGATGTACTAGATGCAATGTACTATATGCTGTAGACAATACGCGATAAAGTATATACTTTTTACTAGACGATGCACTACACTATAAATCTGCTATATAGATTTGGAAGTTCGGCAAGGCTGTCAGGCCTCCGGCATTTGGATCAACAACTCAAGCCCCTGAAAACCACCTGAAGCTGAATCTCTATTGAACTATACTGTAGCGTATATGCTACAATAGATAGTATAGTTTATTATGGTAGTCTGTATAGCTGTATAACATATAACATATATAGATATATATATATATATATACACATTGAAAACTGTATAGTCTAGTTTACTGTATGATGGCCCACAAACAAGCAAGATTGGGTTGCCCAGTTGCCTTGTCTGGCACAGTTTGGCACCAATGTGCCTCGGCTTCAAAGTTGATTCTGAGATGGTAGGGGAATTCCTGAGCTGTTGGAGGTATCCACCAAAAGTATAGTATACGATACTTTTTACTGTACTATGCTACACTCCTTTTCCGGCATTGTCGCAGGGGCTGGTATGGGCTGGTGCGGGCTGGTCCGTTCAGGCTCTGAAGCAAAGACCCCGGCCCTTGCAGGCTTGAAGCTCGCAAGACCTGACCTTATATAGTACACTGTAGAATTTACTATATCCCCATGTCTTTTCATGTCCTTGCTTGCTACTGGAGGGATACCAAAGCAGCCTTGCCCCTGTAGTTTTCCTGAGCTCAGAATATCTGAAAGATGTGCAAGAACATGTTTAGTTTAGTACATAGTATGAGCTTATATGCCTTCCAGCAGCCACCAGCGTCCTTCTTCGCTTCGGCGAGGTAGCAGCATAGCTCTCCTCGACTACCGCCGAAACCGCACAGGGCCAACTCTTGCCTATGCGTGCGGTTCAGAGGTGGATGCCCCTGCTTCGGCGCAGCCCCTTTGTCGCATGCTTGAAAGCACGAAATTTCCAAGAAAATCCACTCAAGAGTGTTGGGTGCATCATGATGCATCCATGTCAGCAAAAGATTGCGAACTACAGCGTGCGCTTTGGCACACAAGGTCAAGGCGTGGTCGCGGGGAGGGCTCATCATCTTGCCATGGACGGTCGCTTGCCACTAGCTCCACCAAAATTCGGCCTGTAGCCTGGGTGAGGCACGGGGCAGGCTTAGCTTAATTGCTATTCCTTTTGCAAAGTATGGCTGCTGGCATCCCGGTGGCTGGGCGGATTCTCTTTGCAGCGCCCTTCTCTGTGAGGTGGCAGGTCACGGCCAGGCAAAGCAAAAGCAGGCTCGGGGGACACCGGACATCAGTTCAAAACGAGAGAACGAAGCTCTTACGGACTGCATGCGCTGCATCCTTGCTGCCTGGCGTTGCTGCCTTGCGCGCCGGCGTTTACAGAAGCCCACTCCCTGTGTCGAGGCCCTCTGGCGATTCCTGTTCCAGCTGCTCCAGCTGTCATAATGTCATAATGGCCCAAAGGAAGTGTGGGCAGTGGTCAAGGAGGACACTGCCGGCGCATGGCATGTCCACCCTGCGCGGTATTTCACGCCATCCCAGTCGAGCCCATCCCATGAGATACCGGTGCAGCCACAGATGCAGACACACATCGGGGATGCAAGGGTGCGCGAGGGAAGCAAACCCAGGACACCTGGTGCGGCCTCCAAGTCAGCTGCAGAAGCTCCAGGGCCATCCGTGCACGGAGCCTCTTCTCTTGGCTTACATGGCCTCTGCTCATAGGCTCATATATGGCCTAGTTGGACGGGGAGGTCACACGTAGTAAGCTCTTCATCTGAGACAGCATCCTTCACGTGAGCCTTGTGTTCATGTGGGAGAATCACCACACTCCTGACATCCAGGCGCAAGCGCAAAGGCCACCAGATCAAAGCTTTCTTGAACCAGCCCGGATGCCATTGCTGAGTTGCTGAATCATGCTGAATCCAGCTCCGTCCTGGCGTTCAAGAAGCCGCTTGAGGCCTACCCCTTTGGTATCCTTTGGGCTCAGTCTGGCACACGGAACTTGAGAAAGTTCGGATCTGACTGCGCTCAAAAGGACGCTCTCATCTTCATGTAAAGATGACCTCACGGAGAATGCAAGAGATGCGCTAGGCCGGGAGAGGTGCGCGGCCCTCAGCTGAACCTTCGTATTCAGCCTGCCAAAAGGCTTGTAGAAGCCTGTGGGATGATTCGACCCATCCTTCTGGTGCCCGGAAGCACCCCGCCTGGAAGAAGAAAAGGCTGTGATAACAGGCTCGCATCACCTAAAAGGGCTGCACCTTGCCGTGCTCCATGAAGCTCTAGGGGCGCTGAGTTAAGTCGCGCTGCAGCAAGAGCTGGTCTGCAGTGCCCTCTTGAGACACGGGCTTTGAAGACTCGCAAGTCCGGCCCTTGCAGCCCATGCTTCCACAGTTCTCATACATGCTTCGCTGCCCAGGCACAATGCAAAGCATGGAAATGGATCACCGCGGGTGGGCAAGGGTGTGATGGCTCAGCGTGCGGAGGCGGCGGAGCCTCAAAGACGAACAGCAACTACTCCTCATTCCTCATCACTCCACCACTCAGGCTGCCCTCTCCCTCTCGCGCACGATCCTCCGAGGACAAGCTCTCAAGTGGCTTCGAAGCAAGGTCATTCTTTAACATTCTCGAACCTTGAAGTTCGTCGATTGCACATTCTTCAGTTGCGCTGCCTCTCAGTTCCTGAACTTTCAAGCTCATGGTGCTGGCCGCATGGCCGTGAGACATACTGTGAGCCAGCAGCCTTTGCGGTGCCTGCCTTTGAAGGCCGTCGAAAGGAGTTTGGGTGCTTTAAGGTGCTCCTAGGTCATTGTCAGCTGTAGTTTGGCCGTTGAGAAAGACAGTCCTGTTTGAGCGTACCCGGCTGTTGTGGTACATGACTAACTGTTCTTCACTTGCCACTGAATCTGGCGCGTATGCAAATTAAGAGCTTGAGGTCCTCAATTTAGCAAGCTTGGGGAAAAACCTCTTCGGGGAAAAAGCCCGAGCCCTGCCGCCGGGGGGTGACTAACTATTCTCGTGAGAAAATCTGCGCACTTCATCCGAGCAACTCTTCTTGCCGTAACCATAGTATTTACGACCACTCCAGAATTTTGCGGAGGCCCTATAAACAAAAAGGGGACGTGCTCTCCACTAGGCAAATAACCGTTGGCCCAAGCCGGCCGCCGACAAGGACCCGCGAAACACCACAGACTGTGAGGAAAAGTGCCATTGACACTGCAAAACTGGTACACGGCAGCGGACTGCTTGCACGGAAGGACAAGACGCCTGGCCCAGTCTTAGAAACCCAAGCCATACCTCAACAAACGCAAATCAGGAAAAGAGCTTTTCCTCCAGGATGACCAGCTTCTGACAACTGGAACCCACAGGCTTGGCAACGCAAGGGCTTCCACCGACAGTACGCAGGCAACAGCCCCATTGCATCTTGGAAAGACTTTGGTTTGAGAGGACAGGTATTGCTTTGAGTACGTCACGGCGCAGGCCACAGGCGTGGACCAAAGCAAATTTGCTGAAACCTTGCAACTTTCTCCAGGTCAGAATCAACAGAAGATGGTGGCCAACTGCACAGGCTCGAAAGCTCCCGGGATGGATTGGCTCAGCTGAAGTGCGGGGCTTTTGTAAAGCTGGCAGGAACAGTGCCAGTAAACCACACCACGCAAGATGTGTCTGCGTTGCGTCATGGTCTTGCTAAGCCTTCACGCAACCTGCAGTGTCGATGAATGCTGCCAAGAGTGGCTGTGCCAGAAACTGCGCTGAAACCTTCGCGGCCTCCAGCACTGAGCGGACACCGTGCATGCTCTGCAAATGGGAAACGGACGTGGTACTCTTGTGGAAGCTCATCAGCCGGGGGGGCAACATCACAAACCTCAGATGAAGTTGTGCAAGGAATTCCTGCAGACATGATGCCTAAGCTGCCAGAAAAGATCCTGCACAACGACATGAGACTGGATATGGAGAGCTGTGGATTCGAACCCACGACGTGCCGGTGCAGAGCTCCAACTCGGGGCAGCGAGGATATTCAAGGGCAGCGGCAGAGCCTTTCGATAGCTTTTGACTTTAGTGTCTGGAGGCCAGCGCTGCAGATGCACCAGACTTTGCAGCGCCACTCTCGAAAGACCTACCTTTGTCACTTGTGGCGACTCTGATAGCCTCTGCGTGCTCAAGTTGCCTACGGGCTTAGTGGGACTGCAGCAGAAGAGCATCCGAATCCGAAGGCACGCCGAGTTACCAAGCGCTACCAGCGGGCCACCAACATGAATGACAAGTGCAAAGCCAGGGGCAAAGCAAGCGGACATGCAGTCAACTACATCGGTCACATGGTAGAAACCTAACACTCTTCGCCTTGCAACCAGGCAGGTGGTAGCTCGGGCCAGCAACCGTTGGCGCAAGCCGGCCGCCGACAAGGACCCGTGAAACACTACAGACTGTGAGGAAAAGTGCCCTTCACACTGCAAAACTGGTGCCCGGCAGCGGACTTCTTGCACCAAAGGACAAGACGCCTGGCCCATTCTCAGCAACCCAAGCCGTAACTCAACAAACGCAAATCAGGAAAAGAGCTTTTCCTCCAGGATGACCAGCTTCTGACAACTGGAACCCACAGGCTTGGCAACGCAAGGGCTTCCACCGACAGTACGCAGGCAACAGTCCCGTTGCATCTTGGAAAGACTTTGGTTTGAGAGGACAGGTATTGCTTTGAGTACGTCACGGCGCAGGCCACAGGCGTGGACCAAAGCAAATTTGCTGAAACCTTGCAACTTTCTCCAGGTCAGAATCAACAGAAGATGGTGGCCAACTGCACAGGCTCGGAAGCTCCCGGGATGGATTGGCTCAGCTGAAGTGCGGGGCCTTTGTAAAGCTGGCAGGCGCAGTGGCAGTAAACCACACCATGCAAGATGTCTCTGCCTTGCGTCATGGTCTTGCTAAGCCTTCACGCAGCCTGCAGTGTCGATGAATGCTGCCAAGAGTGGCTGTGCCAGAAACTGCGCTGAAACCTTCGCGGCCTCCAGCACTGAGCGGACACCGTGCATGCTCTGCAAATGGGAAACGGACGTGGTACTCTTGTGGAAGCTCATCAGCCAGGGAGGCAACATCACACACCTCAGATGAAGCTGCGCAAGGAACTCCCGCTGACATGATGCCTAAGCTGCCAGAAAAGATCCTCCACAACGACATGAGACTGGATGTGGACAGCTTTGGATAACCCACGACGTGCCGGTGCAGAGCTCCAACTCGGGGCAGCGAGGACATTTAAGGGCAGCGGCAGTTTAGTGTCTGGAGGCCAGCGCTGCAGATGCACCAGACTTTGCAGCGCCACTCCCGAAAGACCTACCTGGGTCACTTGTGGCGATCACATCTTGGGCTCTGATAAAGGCTTCTGCGCGCTCAAGTTATCCTACAAGCTTGGTGGGACCGCAGCAGAGCATCCGAATCTGCTGGCACACCAAGTTACCAAGCGCTACCAGCGGGCCACCAACATGAATGACAAGTGCAAAGCATCGCAAAGCATGCAGACAAGCAGTCAACTACATCGGTCACATGGTAGATGCCAAACACTCTTCGCCTTACAACCAGGCAGGTGGCAGCTCGGGCTCGCAACCGTTGGCCCAAGCCGGCCGCCGACAAGGACCCGTGAAACTCTACAGACTGTGAGGAAAAGTGCCCTTCACACTGCAAAACTGGTCCCCGGCAGCGGGCTTCTTGCACCAAAGGACAAGACGCCTGGCCCATTCTTAGAAACCCAAGCCATAGCTCAGCAAACGCAAATCAGGAAAAGAGCTTTTCCTCCAGGATGACCAGCTTCTGACAACTGGAACCCACAGGCTTGGCAACGCAAGGGCTTTCACCGACAGTACGCAGGCAACAGCCCCATTGCATCTTGGAAAGACTTTGGTTTGAGAGGACAGGTATTGCTTTGAGTACGTCACGGCGCAGGCCACAGGCGTGGACCAAAGCAAATTTGCTGAAACCTTGCAACTTTCTCCAGGTCAGAATCAACAGAAGATGGTGGCCAACTGCACAGGCTCGGAAGCTCCCGGGATGGATTGGCTCAGCTGAAGTGCGGGGCCTTTGTAAAGCTGGCAGGCGCAGTGGCAGTAAACCACACCATGCAAGATGTCTCTGCCTTGCGTCATGGTCTTGCTAAGCCTTCACGCAGCCTGCAGTGTCGATGAATGCTGCCAAGAGTGGCTGTGCCAGAAACTGCGCTGAAACCTTCGCGGCCTCCAGCACTGAGCGGACACCGTGCATGCTTTGCAAAGGGGAAACGGACATGGTACTCTTGTGGAAGCCCATCAGCCGGGGAGGCAACATCACAAACCTCAGATGAAGTTGCGCAAGGAACTCCTGCAGACATGATGCGTAAGCTGCCAGAAAAGATCCTGCACAACGACATGAGACTGGATGTGGACAGCTTTGGATAACCCACGACGTGCCGGTGCAGAGCTCCAACTCGGGGCAGCGAGGACATTTAAGGGCAGCGGCAGAGCCTTTCGATAGCTTTTGACTTTAGTGTCTGGAGGCCAGCGCTGCAGATGCACCAGACTTTGCAGCGCCACTCTCGAAAGACCTACCTTTGTCACTTGTGGCGACTCTGATAGCCTCTGCGTGCTCAAGTTGCCTACGGGCTTAGTGGGACTGCAGCAGAAGAGCATCCGAATCCAAGGCACGCCGAGTTACCAAGCGCTACCAGCGGGCCACCAACATGAATGACAAGTGCAAAGCCAGGGGCAAAGCAAGCGGACATGCAGTCAACTACATCGGTCACATGGTAGAAACCTAACACTCTTCGCCTTGCAACCAGGCAGGTGGTAGCTCGGGCCAGCAACCGTTGGCCCAAGCCGGCCGCCGACAAGGACCCGTGAAACACTACAGACTGTGAGGAAAAGTGCCCTTCACACTGCAAAACTGGTGCCCGGCAGCGGACTTCTTGCACCAAAGGACAAGACGCCTGGCCCATTCTTAGAAACCCAAGCCATACCTCAACAAACGCAAATCAGGAAAAGAGCTTTTCCTCCAGGATGACCAGCTTCTGACAACTGGAACCCACAGGCTTGGCAACGCAAGGGCTTTCACCGACAGTACGCAGGCAACAGCCCCATTGCATCTTGGAAAGACTTTGGTTTGAGAGGACAGGTATTGCTTTGAGTACGCCACGGCGCGGGCCACAGGCGTGGACCAAAGCATATTTGCTGAAACCTTGCAACTTTTTCCAGGTCAAAATCAACAGAAGATGGTGGCCAACTGCACAGGCTCGGAAGCTCCCGGGATGGATTGGCTCAGCTGAAGTGCGGGGCCTTTGTAAAGCTGGCAGGCACAGTGGCAGTAAACCACACCACGCAAGATGTCTCTGCCTTGCGTCATGGTCTTGCTAAGCCTTCACGCAGCCTGCAGTGTCGATGAACGCTGCCAAGAGCGGCTGTGCAAGAAACTGCGCTGAAACCTTCGTGGCCTCCAGCACTGAGCGGACACCGTGCATGCTTTGCAAAGGGGAAACGGGCATGGTACTCTTGTGGAAGCCCATCAGCCGGGGAGGCAACATCACAAACCTCAGATGAAGCTGCGCAAGGAACTCCCGCTGACATGATGCCTAAGCTGCCAGAAAAGATCCTCCACAACGACATGAGACTGGATGTGGACAGCTTTGGATAACCCACGACGTGCCGGTGCAGAGCTCCAACTCGGGGCAGCGAGGACATTTAAGGGCAGCGGCAGTTTAGTGTCTGGAGGCCAGCGCTGCAGATGCACCAGACTTTGCAGCGCCACTCCCGAAAGACCTGCCTGGGTCACTTGTGGCGATCACATCTTGGGCTCTGATAGAGGCTTCTGCGCGCTCAAGTTATCCTACAAGCTTGGTGGGATAGTGGGACCGCAGCAGAGCATCCGAATCTGCTGGCACACCAAGTTACCAAGCGCTACCAGCGGGCCACCAACATGAATGACAAGTGCAAAGCATCGCAAAGCATGCAGACATGCAGTCAACTACATCGGTCACATGGTAGATGCCAAACACTCTTCGCCTTACAACCAGGCAGGTGGCAGCTCGGGCTCGCAACCGTTGGCCCAAGCCGGCCGCCGACAAGGACCCGTGAAACTCTACAGACTGTGAGGAAAAGTGCCCTTCACACTGCAAAACTGGTCCCCGGCAGCGGGCTTCTTGCACCAAAGGACAAGACGCCTGGCCCATTCTCAGCAACCCAAGCCGTAACTCAACAAACGCAAATCAGGAAAAGAGCTTTTCCTCCAGGATGACCAGCTTCTGACAACTGGAACCCACAGGCTTGGCAACGCAAGGGCTTTCACCGACAGTACGCAGGCAACAGCCCCATTGCATCTTGGAAAGACTTTGGTTTGAGAGGACAGGTATTGCTTTGAGTACGTCACGGCGCAGGCCACAGGCGTGGACCAAAGCAAATTTGCTGAAACCTTGCAACTTTCTCCAGGTCAGAATCAACAGAAGATGGTGGCCAACTGCACAGGCTCGAAAGCTCCCGGGATGGATTGGCTCAGCTGAAGTGCGGGGCTTTTGTAAAGCTGGCAGGCACAGTGCCAGTAAACCACACCACGCAAGATGTGTCTGCGTTGCGTCATGGTCTTGCTAAGCCTTCACGCAGCCTGCAGTGTCGATGAATGCTGCCAAGAGTGGCTGTGCCAGAAACTGCGCTGAAACCTTCGCGGCCTCCAGCACTGAGCGGACACCGTGCATGCTTTGCAAAGGGGAAACGGACATGGTACTCTTGTGGAAGCCCATCAGCCGGGGAGGCAACATCACAAACCTCAGATGAAGTTGCGCAAGGAACTCCTGCAGACATGATGCGTAAGCTGCCAGAAAAGATCCTGCACAACGACATGAGACTGGATGTGGACAGCTTCGGATAACCCACGACGTGCCGGTGCAGAGCTCCAACTCGGGGCAGCGAGGACATTCAAGGGCAGCGGCAGAGCCTTTCGATAGCTTTTGACTTTAGTGTCTGGAGGCCAGTGCTGCAGATGCACCAGACTTTGCAGCGCCACTCTCGAAAGACCTACCTTTGTCACTTGTGGCGACTCTGATCGCCTCTGCGCGCTCAAGTTGCCTACGGGCTTAGTGGGACCGCAGCAGAGCATCCGAATCTGCTGGCACACCAAGTTACCAAGCGCTACCAGCGGGCCACCAACATGAATGACAAGTGCAAAGCATCGCAAAGCATGCAGACATGCAGTCAACTACATCGGTCACATGGTAGAAACCTAACACTCTTCGCCTTGCAACCAGGCAGGTGGCAGCTCGGGCCAGCAACCGTTGGCCCAAGCCGGCCGCCGACAAGGACCCGTGAAACACCACAGACTGTGAGGAAAAGTGCCCTTCACACTGCAAAACTGGTACACTGCGGCGGACTGCTTGCACCGAAGGACAAGACGCCTGGCCCATTCTTAGAAACCCAAGCCGTAACTCAGCAAACGCAGATCAGGAAAAGAGCTTTTCCTCCAGGATGACCAGCTTCTGACAACTGGAACCCACAGGCTTGGCAAC